GTAAGGAAGCAGGTCTTGTGTGTATGAAGTTACATATCACTGATCACTACCTATAGTGTCAGTGATCCACATGTTGTGACGCCAAGTAATGTGCAGTCATTTTTTCACATTTTTCTCCACCTCTTTCTCTCGCCCTCCATTTCTCTTTTTGTTTTTTATACAGTGTTTTACAAGGTTAGGTTAAGAGGCACGTAAGTTCCCCCGTCTTCTAATAACATGTTCATTTTCCACTATAATCTACTTTATCCATAATTACTATCGCATTTGCTTTGTCTGTTTCGTAAAGTGATTTCTAGGATCTTTCTTTAATTCTTGGTATAACATAACAAATGTTTGAAGACAATTGTGTTGCAGCACGACTGTGTTGTGTCGCAACACAATTGTCCTCAAACATTTCTTAAGTTGTACCATGAATTAAAGAAAGATCCTAGACTTTACCTTACGAAATAGAGGAAATGCGACAGTAATCATAGACAAGGTACGTTATAGTGGAAAAAATGAACATGTTATTAGAAGACAGTGGTATTTACGTGCCCTTTAAGGCGCCCTACCTTTATTTACAGTCTAAGAACTATTACCTGCATCAGTTTATTTTAAAACCCTTTTAGTGTTAAGAGATATATAGTGGGTAATATAATGGAGCTGAAGTTCTGTACCTCACAGGTTCTATTTGGTCAACTAATTTTATTTACTTGATGCCATTATACTGTGTAAATATATTTTCTTCCTCACTCTACTTCTTTCCTCTTCTCCTCACTTTTCTCCCCATCCCATCACTTCTCTCTCAGTCTCTCTCCTCTTCAGTTCTTTCTTTCCACCCCCTCTTCTCTTTTCATTCCTCCCACTCCTCTTTTCCTTTCTCTCATCCTCTTCCGTTCCCTTTTCCCCTTCCCCATTCTCTTCTCTTCCTCTTGTCTCTCCCTCTCATTTGACCTCTCACACCTTCCATCTCTCTTCCCATCCCTCCCTACCTCCCTCCATCTATCTACCTCCTTTCTTCCTCTGAATGGACCTGTATAATCCCTACGGATTTACCGCATTTCTTGGACGCAATAAAAATTACTCAACGTTTCTTCCCCTTCCCCACCTTATCTCCCCAGATATACGTCTCCCTATTCCCCTACTTATCTTCCCCTCAATACTTTTCTCTCTTTCCTCCACTTATCTCCTCCTCCACTTACCTCCTCTTCCTCCACTTATCAGCTACACTTACCGCTTCCTGACCTTACCTCCGCCTCTCCCCTATACTACTCTACCTCAGTCTACTCATTTCCTTCACTCCATTTATATACTTCTCATTCCACTTTCTCTCTTCATTTCACTTTCCTTCCCAACACTCCACTTCCCTGCCCAATATTCACTTCCCTGCCCAATATTCACTTCCCTACATATCACTCTACTTCCTTGCCCATCATTCACTTCCCTGCATATCACTCTACTTCCTTGCCCATCATTCACTTCCCTGCATATCACTCTACTTCCTTGCCCATCATTCACTTCCCTGCCCATCATTCACTTCCCTGCATATCACTCACTTCCCTGCCCATCATTCACTTACCTGCCCAACACTTCCCTGCACATCACTCACTTCCCTGCCCAGCACTCACTTTCCTGCCCAGCACTCACTTCCCAGCAGATCACTCCACTTCCCTGCCCATCATTCACTTCCCTGCCCAACATTCACTTCATGCTTATTACTCAACTTACATGCCCATCACTCCTCTTCCTTGCCTTTCACTCCAGTTCCATGTCCACCACTCCACTTGCTTGCCCTTCACTCCTGTTATCTGCCCATCACTCACCTTCCTTGCTCCCTCGTTCCCCTTCCCCGCATGTCATTCCATGTTCCTTCCCTTCTTTCACCTTCCCTGCCCATCACTTCACTGCCTTGCCCATATCTCCACTTCCATGCCCTTGCTCCACTTCTGTGGCACTTATGTCATTTCCATTCATGTATATTGCTTCCCCGCCTGTTACTTCATTTCCCTTCACTCAACAGCCCTGCTCATATCTCCACAGTCCTGCTCATATCTCCACAGTCCTGCTCATATCTCCACAGTCCTGCTCATATCTCCACAGTCCTGCTCATATCTCCACAGTCCTGCTCATATCTCCACAGTCCTGCTCATATCTCCACAGTCCTGCTCATATCTCCACAGTCCTGCTCATATCTCCACAGTCCCTCAATCACAGCCTGCCATATCTCCACAGTCCTGCTCATATCTCCACAGCCCTGCTCATATCTCCACAGTCCTGCTCATATCTCCACAGTTCTGCATATATCTCCACAGCCCTGCCCATATCTCCACAGCCCTGCCCATATCTCCACAGTCCTGCCCATAGCTCCACAGCCCAGTTCATATCTCCACAGCCCAGTCCATATCTCCACAGCCCAGTCCATATCTCCACAACCCAGTCCATATCTCCACAGCCCTGCCCATATCTCCACTCCTCTTCCATATCTACCACTTCCCTGCCATTTCGCTGCCATAGTCACCTGTCACTATCTCCCCAGCCCTGCCCATATCTCCACTCCCTGCTCCATATTTCCACAGCCTGCTCATATCTCCACCGCCTCCCATCGCTCATTCTCCACATCCTGCTCATATCTCCACAGTCCCTGCCTCATATCTCCACAGTCCTGCTCATATCTCCACAGTCCTGCTCATATCTCCACAGTCCTGCTCATATCTCCACAGTCCTGCTCATATCTCCACATCCTCTCATATCTCCACATCCCTGCTCCATATCTCCACAGTCCTGCCCATATCTCCCAGTCCTGCTCATATCTCCACAGCCCTGCTCATATCTCCACAGTCCCTCCCTCATATCTCCACAGTCCTGCCATATCTCCACAGCCCTGTCCATATCTCCACAGCCCTGCCCATATCTCCACAACCCTGCCCATATCTCCACAGCCCTGTCCATATCTCCACAGCCCTGCCCATATCTCCACAACCCTGCCCATATCTCCACAGCCCTGCCCATATCTCCACAACCCTGCCCATATCTCCACAGCCCTGTCCATATCTCCACAGCCCTGCCCATATCTCCACAACCCTGCCCATATCTCCACAGCCCTGCCCATATCTCCACAACCCTGCCCATATCTCCACAGCCCTGTCCATATCTCCACAGCCCTGCCCATATCTCCACAGCCCTGCCCATATCTCCACAGCCCTGCCCATATCTCCACAACCCTGCCCATATCTCCACAGCCCTGTCCATATCTCCACAACCCTGCCCATATCTCCACAGCCCTGTCCATATCTCCACAGCCCTGCCCATATCTCCACAACCCTGCCCATATCTCCACAACCCTGCCCATATCTCCACAGCCCTGTCCATATCTCCACAGCCCTGCCCATATCTCCACAACCCTGCCCATATCTCCACAACCCTGCCCATATCTCCACAGCCCTGTCCATATCTCCACAGCCCTGTCCATATCTCCACTTTCCTGCCCATATCTACACTTCCCTACCCATCGCTCAACTTCCCTGCTCATCATTCCACTTCTTTGCCCATTACTCCACTTCCCTGCTCACCACTCCACTTAATTATCACTCCACTTCACTGCTCATCACTCCACTTCCCTGCCCATCACTCCACTTCCCTGCCCATCACTCCACTTCCCTGCCCATCACTCCACTTCCCTGCCCATCACTCCACTTCCCTGCTCACCACTCCACTTAATTATCACTCCACTTCACTACTCATCAATCCACTTCCCTGCCCATCACTCCACTTCCCTGCTCACCAATCCACTTAATTATCACTCCACTTCACTACTCATCAATCCACTTCCCTGCCCATCACTCCACTTCCCTGCCCATCACTCCACTTCCCTGCCCATCACTCCACTTCCTGCCACTCACCTCCCTGCCCATCACTCCACTTCCCTGCCCATCACTCCACTTCCCTGCCCATCACTCCACTTCCCTGCCCATCACTCCACTTCCCTGCCCATCACTCCACTTCCCTGCCCATCACTCCACTTCCCTGCCCATCACTCCACTTCCCTGCCCATCACTCCACTTCCCTGCCCATCACTCCACTTCCCTGCCCATCACTCCACTTCCCTGCCCATCATTAAACTTACTTGATCATCACTTCAATTTTTCGTCCCTTCATTCTACTTCTTGTCCTTATTTCGCTTCTTTACTACTCCACTTACTCCTCATTCCACTTCTGACCTTCACTACACTTCTTTGCCAAGCACATCCCCTTCCTGCCCTTCACTCCACTTTGCTTCCTCTAACATCGCTTTCCTCCTACTCACTCCCCTTCTCTCCCTAGTACTCCACTTCTCTCCCCAGTACTCCACTTCTCTTCCCACTACTCTACTTTTCTCCCCAATACTCCACTTCTCTCCCCAGTACTCCATTTCTCTGCCCCTTCACTACACATGTCTCCGCTTCACTACACATGCCCTCTGCTTCACTACACATGCCTCTCTTCACTACACATGCTCCCGCTTCACTACACATGCCTCCGCTTGACTAACACATGTCTCCGCTCACTACACATGCCTCCGCATCAACTACACATGCCTCCGCTTCACTATGCATGCCTCTGCTTCACTACACATGCTCCGCTCAACTAAAAAACAAAACCATGCTCTGCTTCACTACACATGCCTCTGCTTCACTACACAATAGCCTCTGCCTTCACTACACAGCCTCCGCTCACTACACATGCCTCTGCTTCACTAACACATGCCTTCCGCTTCACATACACATGCCTCTGCTTCACTACACATGCCTCTGCATCACTACACATATGCCTCTGCTTCACTACACATGCCTCCGCTTCACGCCATGCCTCCGCTTCACTACACAATGCTCTGCTTCGACTACACATGCCTCTTGCTTCACTACACAATGCCTCCGCTCACTTACACATGTCTCCGCTTCACTACACATGGCCTCCGCTTCACTACACATGCCTCTGCTTCACTAACATGTTCCGCTTCACTACAACATGTCTCTGGTTCACTA